TTACAGGGAATCTGGCTTACTCTACACACCTCTCTAGCCTCAACGGCACAAAGTCTGCTTCGACTATCAAGGCACCCCGGAAATAGTGGATCACAAGAGTGTGACAAACAAACAAAAGAAATAGAGGAAAATGACAATAGGATTAGGAAAGAAAAAGCAGCAGTTCCCTGTTGTAGTTCAGGTACAGTTATGAGCATGACATTGTAGGATCAGCCCGTTTACAATTTTACTATGCACTAGAACGAGATATGTCCCCCCTTTGGGAATGGCCTAAAGACAATTTAGTCTGTAGCACCGCCCCGGGGGGTAGGTCTTGGGTATAATAACACAAGTCTATGATGAGGGTCATAAGCATACTGTGTATTGCTCTTTAGATTGTGTATCTACGAGTATATAACTCGAGAGGTCTTGTAATCAAATTTCTGCGTGTGGTTGAATGATGCATCTGATGTGATATGTACATTTTGTCAGCTTTACTTCTCTTTTCATGTTGGATTTTAATGAGAGTATAATTTAGATTGTGTATGTATACCTGCATGTGCCTTTACTGTCCTGTGCAGCCAAGAACAATTTCCCTCTGAGATAATAAAGTATTATCTCATCTTATCTTATATACTACAATTTCGAACGTATCAGTTAGATTTATGTTCCACAGGGAAATGGACTTTATGACTGTGATGGCCTACGACTTTCATTTGTACTTGGCTGGCAGGGACAACAGGACTGGCTACAACAGTCCCCTCTTCACACCTAAAGGAGAGTCGAAATTTCTCTCAACTGTAAGTGACACACAGCGAACGTATCAATTACCCCACACAAGCAACTGCCCTGTTGTTACATCTTGTGCTGTCCAAATTGTGAAAAATAAATGGTGAAATGGTATGGCTTTAACGCCTCCTATCAACACTACTAGGTTATTTAAGGGGCGGGGGACCTACTAGTTTAACGTCCGTCATCGATATGACCGAGCCAAGTGGGAAGTTCGTGTAAAGTGTCTTTCCCAAGGACACAATGTCAGACCGAGCTGAGGCTCGAACCCCCGAACCCGCAATCTCACGATTTCGAGTCCGGTGGCCTAACCTGTAGGCTGCCGACGCCACGAAATTGTGAAAGACGGCCATTATTATTAATTGTTCAGGAGAAAGAAAAGAGGTTGTCTTAGACAAGTAGACTTCTGTAATACAAGGTGGGAAGTGAGAAATGGTGAGTTATACAGGTGCTTAGACAGATGGCCGTTAGAGCAGGCTCGACTGTTTTACTTCCTTTTATTTCTTAACATCTCCGGCACGGATGTGGATCCACAGTACTGAAAACAGCGCAAACGTTTGGGCATTTTCATCTCTGAATAACTAGTGGGGCATTTCAAAGAAGATTATTATTCCATGATCAAAGGAAATGAAACATTTCCAATAGTTTCTTAAGCATTATCGGCAGGATATGAATTGAGCTTGAATTGATTAGCCTTCCCTTCTTCCCAGTGGCTAAGTGAGTAGTGAGTTTTGACTCAAGCAATGTCAAGCAAGTGTCGGTGACACGGGGATCAGATGGGTGGTCACTGGAGTGTGTCCTTGAGCAAGACACGACAACCCTAG